CGTCGGTGCACCAGCCTGCTAGTGGGGCGTACCAGATGTTCGACTCAATCTTGCTGCTCTCGGAGGGGAACTGTGTGTATTTTGGGAGGGGGAGAGATGCTATGGACTACTTCGGGGAAGTCGGTTTCGTGCCGAGGTTTCACGTAAATCCTGCGGATTTCATGCTCGACCTCGCTAACGGTAAGTTTTAATTTCTTTCTATAGGGCGTGAAAAGGAATTAAGATAATTTTTTTTTTTAAAAGATGATACCAGAACAATTCAAATTTAAGATTTACTTTAAGACGGGAGTTGAGAAATAATATTGATGCGTGAAATTCATAACTAAGGTCTTATAAGCTGATTTAAAAAATATTTATTTGCGAAAAATATTTTCAGAATATATGTCAAAAAAAGAACAATATTTGTCTCTCTTTGAACATATTCCAGTTAGAGAGATAAGGGGGTGTAGCTGTCACCAAAAGCTGAGCTTCTTTAGGAATGCTCTTTAGCTCTAGCACCAGAAAGCGAAGATAACGATGAGTAGTGTGTCTTTTATAGCTTGATTCTCCTTTGAATCCAATAGGGCTCAACTCAAGGTAGTGTGTGAGGTTAAAACCAACTTGATGGAGTCTTTTTAATCAAGAGATCTCCCATGTTTTGTGTCTTTTCTCATAAAATGCCCATTGTTTATTGTCTTGTTTTAAACAAACAAAAATGTTGATGTTAATATTTCAGATTCTTGTGGAAGAATACTTGTGCACTGATACAACACCATGTGTCCTGATCTAACACCACGTGTCCCGTGACGTAGGATGGTTACTAATTAGCAGATTATTCTGGTCCCTATACAAGACAGCAGTAAAAATCCCAAATTTTTTCTTTATTTCTCTTTGTATACACCAGAAGCTACCATACATGTTGTTACTTTGATAGAATTTATAATACTTGCGATTTGTCACCTCCTAATATTAACATTACTTACTTACCAATTATAAATATCCAAAAATTATTTTCTTAAAAAAAAGGACAAGCCAAAATTCTCATTCATTTTGGCATTTCTTATATTTTTTTTTAATAATTGCCAGGAGGTGAAGTCACTATCATTTCCACACGGAAAAAGCGATTTGGCTCGCG